CCCCAGTAGATAGTTGTGTGTCACAGCTGCACATCCTTCTAGTTGCTGTATGTGGGACGCGGCCTCAGCATGGCCGGAGAAGCAGCGCGTCGGTGCGAGCCGGGGATCCGAACCCGGGTCGCCAGCAGTGGAGCGCACTCACTTAACCACCAAGCCACGGGGCCGGCCCTGTCCCATTGAGTTCTAGCGTCCATTATTATTGCAAGTTCTGACACCATTCTTTTTCCTGACCTTTTGTATTCTGTATGTTATTGTTTTTCTTTGGGGAAGTTTTTAGAATCTTTTGTTTGTCCACAATGTTCTGAAATTTCATAATGATGCTCCTCGGTGTGGGTATTTTTCTTATTCGTTGTACTATATCCATGATGGGCTTTCAGTTTGGACTTTCAGGTTCTGGAATGTTTACTTTGGTTCTGGAAAGTTTTTCTTGTATTATTTTTTTGATCGCTCCTTCCCCACTATTTTATACAACCTCTTTTCTGTAATACCTTTTATTGTAATGTTGAATCTCTTGGGCTGAGTCTCTAATTTTCTTACTATTTTTCCTCTTTCTGGGAGATTTCCTCTACTTTATCTTCAAGCCTTCCTCCTACATTTTTATTCTAGCTTTCTTATTTGTTTTAATGTTTAAATGTTTTCTGATTGTACCTTTTTTTTTTATAGCATACTATTCTTGTTTCATGGCTGCAAGTTCTTCCCTTATCCCTCTGAGAATATTATTTGTAACTGTTTTGAAGTACTCTCCCTCTTACCTCAGGGTTCTTTTGTTGTTGTTGTTTAGTTGCTGTCACATTGGAGACTTTTCCTTAGACATCTGATGAACTTTAGCTGTCTATTCATATTAAAGAGAGTTACCCTAAAAAGTTGATGGAAAATTTTTGTGCAAAAGTGGGGTTTGTTGATTAATGGAATTCATGGTAGAGAGATAGGATAACAAGCTGAATTTTTACTGTGGAACCCCAAATATCACTCTCTTGTTGCATTTCTCTTAAGCCATTCATTTTTTCAGAGAAGAATTCAGTAATCTCCTGTCAACAGTATATAAGCCTGTCGAGACATCCTGAAACAGGGACAGGAAAAGGAAGTGAGTCTCCATGCCTGTCCTGTCTGCCCTGTGCAAGACTTCTTGGTCCTCTTGTTCTCTCCAGAGAATAGACCTCCAGTCTGCTGCCAGGAAGAGCAAGACAAGAAGAAACAGTAACAGGATAGTTGCTTGTCTGCCTGGGCAGGAGATACAGCCCAGAGGGAGGTGGGGGGGAGGCTAATCATTCTAAATATAAACCTTCACCAATCTTTCTTTTAAACCCTTTACTCTCTGTCGTACCTTGAGCCTCCAACTACTGAACCTTTTCAGAGTCCAACAGGTCAACAGACTCACTTATTGTTAGACTCCATTTCCCCAGAAACACAGGTGCTAGCTTTCTCTCTGTGCTAAGTCACTTCCATCCAGTTTCAGCCACTTTCCATTTTCCAAAAACTTGTTGAAATCTCTCCACTGCTATTGTTTGTTCTCCTGGTTTCTTGGTCCTTATAGATTTATACCTTTTCAGTTTCCTTTATTTTCACTTTAGTGGCATTTTGAGGTTGATTTGCCCTGGTTAACCAGAAGAATCATGATTAAAGGATATAATTTTTGACATTTTAAGCAATTGAGAACATGCCCAAATTGCTTCACTTACAAGCTTAATTTTTTTCATATATTTTTTTGGGAAGTATGATTCTTCTAAATATTTAGGGTACACATTTAAAATCATTACATAAAGAAATGACGTTACTTATCAACTGTCAAAGACAGACAGTGTTGGAATTGGTTTCCAGAAATGTTTAGTTGGCCTGGCCAGGGTCTTCCTCACCTTCGTCTCTAGTCTCTCTGAGGGTAAACATCAGCATTCATAAGGCAGCTGGCTAAGTTTAGGCATTTTCAATACTATGGGTTTGCATTTCTTCATAGAGTCGTCTCACCTCTATGGAAAATGACCCCATAAACTTGGCTTCTTCATTAGCACCCTCCCTCCACCAGCTAAGGTGACTGTTCCCAGAAAACAAATATTATACTGCGTTTTCTTTAGAATGATCTCAGAATTTGAACCTAACATTTAAACCTGATGCAATATCTTGTCAAAAGCAGTTCATCAAGCATATTTCTTTTTTCTTATGCATGATTCAGAGTTACGTTTTTATTTGTTCTTCCAGAATTGGAGAGTCCATATCCTTATAACTGAGCTCATTTCCAGATTTAATTTATGTCATGTTTGAGTTAATTGGCTTGGTCAACCTAGCATAAATACAACCCAGCGTGTTGAACATACTCTTGGAGAGCACCCCCACTTGCTAAATAAGAAAATGAAACAGGTTTCTACATCTGCTTCCCAAAAACCTTGATCCTGGTGACAAGATACTGCAGGATGCCTTGAGGGATCAGCTAATCGTATCCAGGCCTTTGCCTTAGGAGCACGAGCTGAATGTTGGCCTGGTCTGTAATTGGACTCTTACGACCATCTGGCAGCTTCTGTGACGTATTAGTGGCCTTGGCCCAGTTTCTAATTGGCATGTACCAGCATCAAATTGGCATGTGTCTGCATCCACAAGACAGCTTACTTTCTAAATAAGAGAGGGCACAATATCTTTCTTTTCTTTAGCTGTGATGCAGTTGCTCTTGGCAAGTTTTTTGTTTTAACTGAGAAGAAGTTAAAATTTCAAGATTCCCATGTTACTTTAATCTTGAGTCTTTTGAATCTACTTCTCTACTAACAAAACAGAGTCTAGAAACTGCTGGTTCTGGCCCCATGTCTTGAAAAAATCATGTAGCATTGTATCTGTCTCTCTGGCTTCAGGCCATAGGCGTTCTTAATCTGCAGGCTGTCTGCAAACTTTAATAGAAAGCTTCATCTGTAATCATTTTAAACAAAGCCAGTGGAGACAAGATTGCTTTAGTTAGTAGCTTACTAGCTTAAACTGAGTACTCTCTAGTTGGAATGGAAACTTAAGGAAAAACTCAGAATAAGTTTTCATTTGCATTTTATATCTTACTTGGCAACTTGTTTGAAAATGTTGCGTAAAAGATCCAGCACAGGAAACATTTTATATTCGTGCTTATGATTAATAAATATGGAATCCAAGGCATTCTATTTTATAAATCAAGGTCTTAGTCCAAATTTCCTGTTTTTCTACATGAAAAAAAAAAAAACAACCTCAGGGCAAAAATAGCACTAAACTGTATAGGGCAGTCAGGGGTCAAGGCAACAGGCAAATCGGTGACTCAGGATGCCGTGGTGCCGAGACTTTGTCAGACCATCAGTAGACACATTCATTTTGTAGTCACTATAGATAAGGCATTTGGTGCAGCTGGTTTTGTAAAAATATAAGTAAATATATCCTACTTCAAATTTATATGCTTATTGAGAAGAGGAAAGGAATGGATAACAAAATAATAAACCAGTGACTTGGAAGTACAGGCTCACACATTGCTAGTTCATGGAAGATGCCAACCCCACTAGTCAAAGACTTTGTTAGCACATCTTAATTTTAATCACATCTATTTCTGCCTGAATTTTACAAACCTGACCACTGTCTTCCATCTTTAATGCCCTGTACCACCACCCCAAACAGGTATATATACTCACTCACACATTTTGACCTTTATTCAGAGATTTTCCAGTCTTAAGTCATCTGCACTTTCTGATTTTCTCAAATTCTCTCAGCCTAGCCCCTGCATGATAGCCTGCAACGGGTCGTCCAGCATCTCTCTGTCTGCAGAATATCACCAAGATACTCTGAAGATAACATGCGTGGCAGTAGGCACTTTGGGGTTCGTACCATTGGTTGACGCTTCATCATGCTAAGATGAAAGTTTTCTCCTTTGTATTTCTTTATAGCCTAAAGAATGTTTCTTGATACAACCAAAGGAAAGAAAAGAAGATGCCACCAAGACCAGGAAGAGGAAAAAGGTAATAATAATTTCTTACAATAGTGTGGCCTCACATGGTTTTCATCACGTTTTATATAGTATCCTTTGATGAGGCAATTGTAATCCCCACTTTAAAGATGCAGAAATTGTAAGATTCAGTGAGGTTTGGTGACTTTCCTAAGGTCACTAGTAATAAGTATTTCTGTTGGAGCTAAAAATAAATTCTTCTGATTCCTGTTTCGGTCTTGTGGAGCACCAAACATCTTTCTCACCCACCCTGTGTTTTTACTGTGGTTGAAAGTCAGACTTGAGTTTCTAATTCTAGAAGCGCCCAGAGCTATCCTGCCCTCTGGCCCCTCTCCTAAGGAAAGAGATGTACCTGCATTCTTTTCTTACCCATTTCAATTTTTAAAACTTTTTATCTTAGAATATTAATAAAAAGAAAATAATAAGCAAAAGAAGGCAGTATAAGGCATTTCTGACTCTAATTTGGAACCATAATTTAAAGCAAAAGGCTCCTTTTGCACTTTTGTTCCCCTTGCATTTTAATACTTGTCTGTGAGCATATGGAAGACTCTGTTGCCCCTGTACAAACTTGCTTATGGCTCAGTCTTGGAGAAAGTGTGGTTAGCTTTGACCTTCCACCACAGTTGTGAAAACAGCAGTGTAATTCTCTCCCTGCCAAGAAAGGTCTACTGCTGAAGTCTGCAGAGCAAATATGACTGGGATTAGAGGAAAGAAGATGGACTCAGACCAATTACTTCACAGCAAGCTTTTAGAAAACTGAGAGTGTGAGTGTATATGTTTTCTTTGCTCGCAAATGGGCAAAAAGGAAGATGGGAGATGCCAAATTGGCTGAGGTTTGGCAAGTCCTTAAAGAAGTGATTTTTAACTTCTCCTTGCTAGTCTGTACACTAATGGCCTTCAGGAGTGTTAAGTTCTTGGTGGCTCAAGGTCAGAACTCTAGTAGATAGTTTAGCCTTGGCTGAGGTCATCCTAAAATGTGCCCACTGATGACATATTTTTAAAAGTTAATTCATTTGACAGAACTTTGACCATTGGTGGTGGTAGAGAAATGAGGATATTGTGGAAGGAGGAAAAAAAGCTGGGGTGGGGGTCAGGGAACGGCTCTTTCTGGATCTTTGGTGAAACATTAGAAGGAAATGAGACGGGAAGTTTATGATGAAAATTGAATGAACAATTGTGTGTTCCTAGTACATTGCAGGCATTCAGTAAATGCTACACAAATGAATCCAAAGCAAAATAGATGTCCTAAAGTATTTCCTGTTCTGCTTTCCATAGGGATCCTTCAAGACTGTCTCTCCCAAGACTTGAGAATTGAGGGTCGAAAGTCCCGTTTCAGTAGGCTCCTCTGCTCAGATTACTCCTTCAGCTTTTACTTTAATTCCAGAAATCCAAACTGAGAGTCAGTGCCTTCAAAACCAAATCAGGCCAGAAAGTCTCAAAATTCTACTCTCCTAGCAATTCAAATCGTCTAAGGCTTAAAGAGAGGTTTTTACAGCCACAAGATTTCTTGGCTTTTAATAGTAAATAATGCCTTATAATGGAGACTTCTGCAAAAATTTCAGTTCTCCTAGAAGTCACAGACCAAGAGTTACAAGGAATCTTTTAGATCATCTGTTTATTTTTCAAAGCAGTAATGCCCAAGAAATATCTATTAAGTTCTCTCAAGTGTACAGTCACATTCACACTCAGCTATCACCAAAACCTGTGTGCAGTTTAAATGCCAGAGGAATCAACCTGTCCTAAGACAAATGCCATTCTAAAATCTATCCTCCCATTTTTTTCTTCCTTCTTATGTCTTAGAAGAAAATTACTGATGTTCTTGCAAAATCGGAGCCCAAACCAGGGACCCCTCAAGACCTACAGAAGCTGATGAAGGACTATTACAGCAGCAGTCGCTCGGTGATTGAGTTAGAAGAGCTAAACCTCCCAGGTACAGCCAGGCTGCTTGCTTTCTTCCTTACTATTCTGAGCTTAGTCATTCAGCAGGACCTGTCGTTCATTGCTAGCAATTTTCCCAATGATGAGGAACAAAACAGGTTCATCTCTGCTCTCCTATATACTGTGGCTAGGTGTCTCAGCCAGAAAATTAATATGTTCTCCACTTGCTAATACCCCTTTCCTCAACTTAACAGTGTTAACTGTTGGGTGATTTTTTTATTAAGATGCTAAATGGTATTTGTTCAATCTAATAGAAAGATTTGTAATTGTATATTTTATTCAAAAGGCTAATTGTTGGGTGTGCATTTTTTTTAGCAGATTCTTCAAAGAGTAGGAATCCCTAATGAGGATAGAAGTTAGATAAAAATAAAGCCCACATTTTAAGTATAGATATGGAACATTAATTTACTCGTCCTTTATAGACAAGGATGTGAGCTTTCATCAGCTGCTTAGCTTTGTTGTGGTCCTTATCATGGATTTCTTTTTTTTATTTATTTTATTTATTTATTTATTTTCCCCCCAAAGCCCCAGTAGATAGTTGTCTGTCATAGCTGCACATCCTTCTAGTTGCTGTATGTGGGACGCGGCCTCAGCATGGCCGGAGAAGCGGTGCGTCGGTGTGCGCCGGGATCCGAACCCGGGCCGCCAGCAGCGGAGCATGCGCTCTTAACCGCTAAGCCACGGGGTCGGCCCCTTATCATGGATTTCTAATTATGGTTTTGTTTTTAGGATAGTGTTTCGGGTCCCAGCCCAGATTTTTTCAAGCAAACTATCTAAAGCTAGGGACGAAATTCTGAATTTTTAGCAAGGCTGACACCTCACCCCAGATGATTCATAAGCCTGCTATTGTTTGAGATCTACTGCCATAGAGTAGTTATAATTAAGTTAAAAGACATGGCAAGATTCTTAAAACAACTAATTTTAATTAATTTCAAAATTATGATACATCCTGTAACTCTTTGGGGCAGAGATTGAAGAAAAAAGATATTGTCAAGAAACCAACCACAGAAGTGTGGGTGCCACTGCCTCAGATGAGCTATTTATGGACTATGAGGGATATCTGATACTGCTGTTGGAAAAGTGAAGGGTAGCTTGATTTCCTTTTTCTGTTACAACTTGGTGCTTTCTAGAGGCTTGAGAAGGCTTGAGAAACTGAAAAACAGCCCGTTCCCTGGATTTTTATAATTCCTTTGTGATGTGCTTTTTCAAAAAAATGCTTGTTGGGTTGGAGACATGAGTGCCCCTGTTTCTTTTCCAAAAGGAATACCCTGTAGGGAATTAATTGATGGAGTACATGTCCACATGAGTGAGATCTGGAGTTTTTGACTTACTGAACCCAGATGGCTCCAACAGCAGTTAGAACACTCTTCTCGGCACAGTGGTTCCTCTGGAGGAGAGCTGGGTCCTGACTGTTCTTTCTCAAGAACCAAATGATATAACAAAGCCTCTTTTCAAGGTCTAAGTGAAGTTTGGTTTTACTGTTACTCAATGGTCAATTTTCCCTCCTAGTTCTTTGTCAGAGTATATATACCTTCAGCTTTCGAAGGATTTGTGCGATAACGGGACAACTGCTACTCTGTAACCTCAAGGAACATCATAAACTTTAATTTGCTAGAGTTGTAGTGTCAGAGGTCAGAAGAAACCTTGAAGGAGTCATTTGAGTTGTATCATGAGTTTCCACTATAGTATTGCTATACTGTCTTAGAGCTCAGTAATACAGTTAGGCAGGAATGTGTGGTCATGGGTTGGTTTAGGGAGGAAGAAAAATGTTAAAAATACTGTTACAGCCAACAAGAACACGTTTCCTTTTTTATTTAAGAAATTAGGCCATTCTAAGACAGTGAACAAAGGACTCATAGGAAGGTTGTAGAGAAAAGGCCCATCACTACACTGATGAGACCAAGGACAGAGAGGAAGCCCAGTGAGAGGAGGCACATGCCGTGGGTTATTTGGAACAGGCTCAGCAAGGGGCATAAATATAAGGTGGATGTACAGTTGGCCCTCCGTATTTGCAGCTTCTGCATCCGCGGATTCAACCAACTGCCAATTGAAAGGCCTAGGATGGTTGTTTCTGTCTTGACATGTACAGACTTTTTTTCCTTGTCATTATTCCCTAAACAATACAGTATAACAACTATTTACATAACATTTTCATTGTATTAGGTTTTATAAATAATCTAGAGATGATTTAAAGTATACAGGAGCATGTGTGTAGGTTATATGCAAATACTGCGCCGTTTTATATAAGGGACCTCAGCATCTGCAGATTTTGGTATCGAGGGGAGTTCTGGAACCAACCCCCCATGGATACCGAGGGAAGACTGTACATAATAAAATATTGTTCCTATTTAGTTTGCCGGGTGTCTAACTTGGTTTTGATTTGAGGTTGTTTGTGTCTGTAGGGCAGGAACATGCCTTTTCAATTAATATTGTGCGCTGTGCCTTGTTAGTGTTCTGCACGTGGGCACTTAATTAGAGTTTCAAGGCGGAGTCGCCTGGAGCTAACTCAGCTGTCCTCCTGAGAGCTGCAGTGTTGTTTAGGTCAGTGCTAAGTGCCTGTGGGCTAGCTGCAGCTGAACCACCCAGGAACTGAAAAAGCAGATTCCTAGGCCCACCCCCAAGGAATTCTGACTCACTGCGCAAGAGGGAGTCCATCCCAGGAATCTGTATCTTTTGTGTAGCTCTCCAGGTGCGTCTGATCATGTCCAGGCTTGGGGAATTACAGTTTTAAAGACCATTAAAGGCTCTGTAACAGTACAGGAAGCAACATCTTTGAAGGTGCTCACATGATGTGAGTTATGTATGCTGGGTCACAATAGAAATTTCATTTATTTAGTAATAGTTTACTCCCTCGCACTCTGCTGGGTTTATAGACAAACCTTCTCTTGTAGGAAGAATTAGTACGATAAGCATGATGTTGCTTTTTTATACATCCCAGGTACAGAGTTAATAATACTACACAGTTGCTAGACCACGATCATCACTGGTTGAGCAAGGCCCCTATGTTTTATTTTAGTGTGTTGCGTTGTCTTTATTGTGTTGTTGTGTTGTGTTTTAATGCGTTATTCCCACTCTTCCCCAATCCACACTCCAGTTTCCTTTCCCCATAGGCATTCATGCTAATGTGTTAATAGACATTGTTAAATATGTATTTTTTCTTGTAAAATATGTCCTGTTGGTGGATGTGTTTTACAATTTTATTTTACAATTTATCTAAATGATGTTGTGCTGAACCTCTGATTCTGTTTCTTTACTCACTTAACACTTTTTCAAGATATGCCTGTATGGCTTTATTTACGTCTAGTTCTTGCTTCTAAATGCTACGTGGTATTCCAGTGATTTCCTTGACCACATATTGCTCCCCCATTTTCTCAGATATGGACACTTAGGTTGCTTCTATTTCCCCGCTATCACAAATAATGCTAGGATGGATATACTTGCATATGTCTCTTTATAGACTGCGCAAGAATTTCTTTCCATTATTTACTCAGGAAGGTAATCATGGGGTCGTAGTGTATACATCTTAATTTTACTACTTTCCAGAAAAGCTATAACACTTTACACCTTCAGCCACAGTTCACAAGAGTTTCCATCACCCTACATTCTCAACACTTGGTATTATACATCATTCTAACAGTTGCCATTCTAACATGTGTGTAAAGTGTTATCTCATTATTGTATCCATTTCCACTTCTGTGATGACTAGTGAGTTTGAGCATCTCCACGTAGATTTGTTAGCTGTTTCAGCTTTGCATTTGTATATTGCCTATTCCATGGATTTGAAAAGTAAAGATGCTTCATTAGTCCATTGAGTGATACAATAAACTTCCATTTCATGACTCTAAGAAATTATGGACCCTTAAAAGTTTAGTGTTTTTGCTGCTGCTGCTGTTTTAAATACTAGACAACACTTTAAAATATATAATGAACCCCCAATTCACTAATGTTCTACAACTTTGTTCAAGAATACACCATTCACATTTAATCTACTTTGATTATGTATGTATCTGCAAAATTCTCTACAAAGTATGTTTCTCATATTTCTAGACTCCTGTTTCCTCAAGGCCAATGATTTGACTCATAGTCTTTCATCATACCTAAAAGAAAGTAAGTAAACTCCGATCTTTAAAAAAAGTATTCACCAAGTTGTTATTATTCCATTAAAGCATAAAGTCTGTCTCTTTAAAATAGGAACTTTTAAAACTACATTTAAAATCAAAAGTTTCCACCTTAAGTGGATTTTAAGTGAAGGTTTCTTTAGGTTCATCTTGATATTAATTTTTACTTATTTAAGTTTATTCTTGTTTTGCTCTGGCTTTGAGAATTGGGTTTTGGTCTCATTTTTGTTTTATAACACTTTAGAAGTATTGGTCTAGGAATCAAGAGAATAATTAGTGTTCTAACTACTAAATTAGTGTTCCCCCACTAATTTGCTGTTTGACCTGGGACCTGTCACTGAGTGCCTCTCTGGGACTTGGCTTTGTTATCTGAGAGATAAGGAAGTTGAACTATGTGATCTGTTCCAGCTGTGTGATTCTGAAATTCTGTTCACATGTTCAGAATTCAGACTATGGATACTGCGTGGTCAATCTAACTTGATCTTTTTAAATATGTATTGTGCGTAGCCAATAATAATTAGATTACTCATACTAAGTAGTCATTTATTTGTGGCCAATAATTAAATAGTTTAGATGTAAAATTTAACATTCTTCTTTCAAACTCTAAGCAATTCTGACAACACCTAACTTGAGGGCATAAACGTTTCTCAGCATCAAATTCAGCAAATGTAGGTGTAGGTTACAGTAGAATCAGCCTCATTGGGTTATGAGAACTAAAAAAGAGAATGTATGTAAAGTGCTTAGCACAATGTCAATATCTAATAAATGTTTTCTATTATTTAAATGTCATTGCCATTTTATATCTTATGCTGATGTCCCTTTAAAATTGAACATTATTGAATCAGAATTCTTTTCCTATTTAGTCAACATTGCCTTCAAGTATCTAACATAAATTAAAACATTGAAAATGTATTATTCCAAACTTTTTTACTTAGTCCTAAAACTAGTCACATTTAGCATATTATATGTTTTGTGTTGTAAGTTAATGATATTTTGTTTTGATCTAATATCTAGAATAACCAGAGAATAGAATCTAAACAGTGCCTTTATATTTTATTTTACTTAAACACTAACAAAGAAGTAATTAGAGAATACTCGACTTTGAAGGCCCTGTTTTGCTATATTTAGAGTAATTTTTTTATGGTCCTTTTTTCAGTCTGTCCTAAGTGGGTAAAACTTTGGAAAAACCACGGTGAGAAGAAATCGGTCCTGTTGCTAATCATCTGCAGCTCTGCCGTCCGAGCCCTGGAGCTTATTAGGTTGGAAGCATCACCTATTCTATTTCATAAATGTTTTCTGAGAAACTGATATGTGTCAAGCTGATATGTTCTATATGCTGGAGATGGAGCAATGAACAAAACAGAGTCCCCTCTATCGTAGAACTTAACTTTCCAGTGAGGAAGACAGACAATAAACAAATAAATATACATTATAATGTCAGGCCGTGATAAGTTGTGTAAGAAAAAATAAAGCCTGGCAAAGGGATAGAAGTGGATAGGGGCTACTTTTTAAAGGGTAGTCACAGAAAACTTCTCTAAGGAGATGACATTTGAGCAGAGACTTGTGCAAGTGAAGGAGAGAGAGGAGCAGATGTCTGGAAGAAGAACATTCCAGGTAGAGGGACGGTAAGCGCAAAAGGCCTTGAGACCGGATGCCACTGGAGGGTTTTGAGCGGAGGAGTCACATGATCTGAAGGGACACTCTGGCTGCTGTGTGGAGCATAGGCGTTGTAGAGAACAAGCCTGAAAGCAGAGAGATCGTGTGAGCAATAACCAGTTGGAAGAAGAGATCTAACTGAAAACAATAAGAAAAGACAGAGCACCAAGGAGTAAACTTACCAAAACCCAGATTACACAAGGGACGTAGAAGATCTTGAACAAGCAAAAAGGCGCATGCTGTGTTCCTGAATAGGAAGACTCGATGTTGTCAAGATGTCTGTTCCACCTCAGATAATCTACAGATTTCACAAATTCCCAATCAAACTCCAATAGAATTGGTTTTTAAACTAGATAAACTAGTTCTAAATTCATATGAGAAAATACGGAAGAAAAAATAGCCAGGGAAATTCTAAAAAAGAATACTAATGAGAGCATCCTATGCCTATAGTATCTATCAGATTACCAAAAATAAAAACATTACAGGGGGCCGGCCCGGTGGCACAAGCGGTTAAGTGCACGTGCTCTGCTGCAGCGGCCCCGTGTTCGCTGGTTCGGATCCTGGGCGTGCACCAATGCACTGCTTGTAAAGCCATGCTGTGGCGGTGTCCCATATAAAGTAGAGGAAGATGGGCATCAGATGTTAGTGCAGTGTTGATCTTCCTCACACACACACAAAAAAACATATTACAAAGTCTCAATAATTAACACAGTATGGGACATGCATGACAGACAGACCGGACCAGTGGGCCAGAACTGAAAGTTCAGATACAGACCTGCCTGCATCTGAAGATGAAACACATGGTGAAGTGACAAGTCAGCATGGAAAGATAGATTATTTAATAAATGCTGTTGGAACAACTGGGTAGCCGTCTGGGAAAATAACATTGGATCCATATCTCACTTATTATACCAGGATAAATTCTGAATGGACCAAAACTTTAAATGCAAAAATTATGTTTTAAAGATAATTTGTCAGTGCCTTCCTGAGTGCTTTCACATACCTTTTCACTTACTGTAGTAGTGTAGAACAAACAAAAAGGCTTCCACTGGGTCAGTGGAACACTCAGCTTCCAGAGAAGAGCCATCGGAGTAAAATGCGAGTTATTGGGACTTGGCCTCTCCCGGGAGCAGGCCTGCACCAAGAGACGAAACAAAGGAGAATCCACATCTCGAGACAGAGGGACTTGATCAGATAGACTGAGGTGCAGGTGTAGACACTCAGGAGTTATTTCACATCTGTTTTTCTAAATGAACTAATCTGATGGGGAATTTAGAAAAGTAGTTGTTAAGCTTTGTTGAGAGTCCTGCAAGCCCTCGTTTCGCCGCTAGGCCCACACATTCAGTTGTATCACACACTGTCCCAGTCAAACGGAAGTGTTCCTTTCAGCTGTTTCTGCTCTAAATGTAATTGATCTTCAAGACCCAGACTGCTCGTGGGCGGCTGTACCTGCCGGTTCTGAATCGCAGCAGTTCACACTGACTTCTCAGTGTGTGAGAAACTGCCGCCACAGAACCCGTTTCAGATTCAAACGCGAGTGGCAAAGAGGTCGGCCTGAGGTGGCTTCTTCAAAACAAGTCATCCAGTTGATTTGAGCTTTTGTGTACATAAATGCCTTTCTGAGGGGCATAAAAGCACTATGTTCTCGCACTTCATTTACTGATTCTTGCTGCTTTTCTGTGTCCCCGGTAATACTACGATCCATTTCAAGGTTAGGTGATTTCTAAAAGGTGATTTTTGTACAGGTACAATGAGCCCTATTCACAAAGAATAATGTTGAATAATTCTAACTTTGTAAGAATATCTGTTCTCTTGAGAACCATGAGTTATGTTAAATATGTCCCCTAGGTTGTCTTACTCGTAAACCTTGCTGTGGAGAAAGCTTATGTGTAAGTGAAAACGCGAGTGCAACTCGTGTAACATGATTTACTACTTGGCAAACTCATATATTCCTACTGGTCAATGAGATTTCTCAAAACATAATAGTGATATATAAAGGAAAGTAATATTCCCGAGCAGTATTTCCATGTTAGTTCTCTCCCCAAACATCAGCTAAAAGATTCTTATTTTATACCCATTTATATCTGAAGCATTTCCACATACAGAATTTTACAGAAAAGCTCACTCTGCAAAGTAGATAAAAGTGGGGGCTGCTCTGACTGAAAGACAGATTCCCCTGCTCCTCCCTGTCAACTCATCCCCACTCCTCACAGCAGCCACGACAGACCTTTGTGGATGCCCTGGGGCTCCACAGGGCACAGGCCGACATCACTGCTCTCAGATATTCCTCACAACCGCATTTTGTATGAGATCTGCACTGCAGAGTTGGAAGATAAATACTCTGCCAGGGACCCGAAATACAGAAATTCTGTGTTACAAGTGAAGGGCAGATCTGTGTTTCAGTAATCAAGGAAACCTAAGTCCAGTTAACCTTGTGTATGAGAGTGAGAAGCCAGCCCAAACAGGTACCTGAATGCGGGCCACCCCACTTTCGTTCCAGAGATGGGCCAACCTGGAAAGCTGAGTGGTTTCCTGTATGTGTATATGTACAGGTGTGTATATGTACATGTGTTTACACATACGTACACATATAAATGCATGTATTCTTTTGAATAAATTAAGACAATACTTAAGTAGTCAACGTGGCCCAGAATGAGTGAGTTTCCTTATGCATTAATCTCTTTCTTTTCATTAGGTCCATGACAGCTTTCAGAGGAGATAGCAAAGTTATGAAGTTATTTGCAAAACACATAAAGGTAAGCCAAGGCCTGCAGTTCCTGGTGGCATGTAAGCGATCCTTAAGGGCCGCTCTGGGACTTCAGCTTTCCCCTCAACCTCTTCTTATCTCCTTAGCAGGCATTTTCTTTGGTGCCTCCTTACATTACATACTTAACAACCATCTGCTTTTCTTTGCATTCCCTGCCTCTGCATACCCACCTGCCCCCACAGCAGTCACTACTCCTCGGGCGTGCTCCATGATTCCTCTACAGAAGCTGAGGTCTGACCCCTGGATTCTTTGAAGATTTACCAGTTTTCTAGGGAGATGCTCTTCTACCTTGATGTCAACCTTCTTTGCCCTGGAAATTGACCCTAAACAAGAGTAGCCCCATTTGCTTTTTTACTTTCTTAACCGTTAGATAAAATGCTCCAAATTGGCCTATGATTGCACTTTCTAATGACTCTTTTCTTTCTTCTCTTCCATCTTGGAATAGGTCCAGGAGCAGGTGAAGTTGCTGGAGAAGCGTGTGGTGCACCTGGGTGTTGGAACTCCAGGGAGGATTAAGGAACTCATTAAACAAGGTATGAAAAGAGGCAGTGACCCTTCCGCTCAGAGCTGGGACTTTGCCTTTCCACCAGGCGAGTTTGGGAAACCACCATTGTGACATAGGAAAACCACACCTTTGTGTTTATTCAGGAGTCAGAAACTCAGCCTTTAGTCTCTAAAACCAGCGGCAGGTATAGTGCAGTAGGGAATGGTAAGGACTGTGGCAAACTGCAGTACGTGTGCCCACCCAAATACATTCACATTCCAATTGCTCTAAGCAGGTTAGTGGATCCACAATTCATTCCAAATCTGAAATTTGTAGAGCTGTATGTGTTGAGTATTTCCCTCTCACTTGATTGAGTCTTGGTTCCCTGAGTCTCCCACTCCGGTTGAGGGCTGGTATATGAAACATGATGAAACAAAAATGCAGTTTCTATGGACAAAATACAGTATTCTGGAATATTTCTCCTGAATGCATTTCTCTTTTAGTGCTTTACCCAGAAAGTATTGCAGACAACATCACTGGTGGGTTTTTATAATCTGTTGACTTTCTCAAAGCCAGTAGCCTAAAAGCCTGCTAACCTGCTGATGGTCTTATTACCTGCTCTACCTGCCAGACAGACTAAAGATTTCTTGCATTACTCACTTCCAAATTACTTTATATAGTAATAGAACTTTGTTTTATAACTGTCTGGAGATTTTCCTGGATTTTTTACATATCTAAAAGTAATGTGTTCATCAATGTAGTAACTCACTATAGAGGTGGTCATTTGCCAGGAAGCCAACAAAAGCTAAAAATACTGGTGTTTCTCTCCAGATGAAAACCACCCAGGGTTAAATGAACCCACTGTGTACAAAGTGCTGTGCAATTACAAGGAAGGAACAAGCTTGGCGGCCCCAGATGAGGAAGGGAAACAAACATTTTTTGAGTTCCTGCTTGTACGTAGTGCTATGCTAGACACCCTTACCTATCTCCGTTGGTACTCACAGCATCCTTGCAAGCTAGCATTCTTATTTCTTATGAGAGAAAACTGAAGCTCAGAGGGTTAAGTAGCCCTCCCAAGATCTCTCACTTTAGGCCTTCCTGGTTCCAGAGCCTTTCCCCTCAGGGAGCTCCTGATCCAGTTGAAGAGATAAATGTTCGTAGAATGAGATTGACGACAAGAGGCAGTCAGTGCCGGGGGCCAAATGTGCACTTCAAGTCCTGTAAGAGTTGAAATGAGGGAGAGATTAGTGTGGTGGCTAAATCTGCAGGGAAGGTTTCACAGAGGAAAGGGTCTTGAACTGGTCTTTGAAGTATGGGGAGGATTGAAACAGGCAGGAGGATGTGAGAACAGCATTCAGGAATGGAAGAACAGCTGAATGAGAAGATAATAAGGAGGCAGTGCAGTGTGGAGGGGGCGAGCCCCTGGTGGGGACTCAGACTCCGGAGATTCAGATCCCTGGTCCAGCTCTGTGACCTTGGCAAGTTACTTAATCTCTCTCAACCGGTTTCTTTTTTTTTTTTTTTCCCCCAAAGCCCCGGTAGATAGTTGTATGTCATAGTTACACATCCTTCTAGTTGCTGTATGTGGGACACGGCCTCAGCATGGCCGGAGAAGCGGTGCGTCGGTGCACACCCGGGATCCGAACCCCGGGCCGCCAGCAGCGGAGCGAGTGCACTTAACCGCTAAGCCACGGGGCCGGCCCTCTCAACCGGTTTCTTTATCTGAATCACGGAGATAGTAATAGTACCTCCTCAAAGGATTGTTATAAAGGTAAAATGCCCACAAAGAGCTCAGCACAATGAGGGTCACACCTTAAGAACTCCTCAAGTGTTCGTCATTGTTTTTATTAAAGAGACCGCCTTTCTTGGTTGGAGACTTCGTGGGCTGTAGTAACCCATGATACTGTTGGAAAGAAAGTCAGATTGCGGAGGGAGGACCTTGAACAATAAGCTCAGGGGTTTGGATTTTTGTCCTGTGGACACAGGAGGGCGTTGAGGACACAGGGGAGCACCAGGTGAGAGATCCTTGTGGTCCATCTCTGAGACACGGAGTTGGGAGAGATTGGCAGGGCGGCAGGACAGGCCAGGGTTGGACCCTGCCTCCCCCATGGCAGAGCCGAAGATTCACCTCTCCCCTTCCTGGAATCCAGATGGTTTTTTGTACTGTCATCAGGCCCCCCATGCAGTAGGGCCACACTTCTCCATATTTAAAAGAGAGAAAGGGAGAGAGAAAACCAAGCTGTATAGATTGTTGAAATTAGATTTCTACAGAGTTGTAAGAACTCAATGTGAAAGCCTATTTCATGTAAGGAGTGAAAAAATCATTTAAGGAGCTGTTGATTTTTTATAATACTAATGAAAATAACTTTACTTCTGATTCTGATTGGGTGAATGGTTCAATATTCATTAACCACAGGTGTTAGGCTACATACAAAGTGTTTAAAGAGAATAATTCCAGCACTCTAAAAACTGAAAATCTAACAAAGTGAGACAAATGGCACATAACTCGTTTTATGTGGCTGTTTATGACTTAAGATATTTCTATATCATGTATAAGGAAAGTTTCCAGATGTTGAAAGATATTCCATGACATTGGGATCTGTACAATTATAAACAGAATTATATTGTTTTATTTTAATAATGAAGGGGATTTTCTGCCGATATATATAAGAGGCTTTGAAAAATGCAAAAAGGTACCTAGAAGAAAATGTCACTTTATTTATTTATTTTTTTTTTTTTGAGGGAGATTGGCGCCAAACTAACATCTGTTGCCAATCTTCCTCCTTTTTTCCTTTTCTCCCTAAAGCCCCAGTAGATAGTGGTATGTCGTGGTTGTACATCCTTCTAGTTGCTAAGAAAATGTCACTTTAGAGAGAATCTCTTGTTGGTTAATATTGAATATATTTCCTTTCAGTCTTTTTCCTATACATTTATACTTATTTTTATAAGGAGAGCATACTGTATTTCATAACTTTTTAACTTACCTTTTCCACTTTATATATCTCATGAGGACTTTCCTTATCATGAAATAGTTTTAATTTTTCATTTTTAATGGCGACATAATATTCTCTTATAAAATTATTTTGGTTTTATTGAGATATAATTGACATGGAACTTGTATTAGTTCAAGGTATACAACATAATGATTTGATACATGTATATATTGCAAAATTATTAGCATAATAAGTTTAGTTAACACCCATCAACATACATACTTACAAATTTTTTTTTCTCATCATGAGAACTTTTAAGATCTACTCTTAGCAACTTTCAGATATACAATATAGTATTGTTAACTATAGTCACCATGCTGTATATTACATCCTGAGAACTTATCTTATAAATGTAAGTTTTTACCTTTGAATACCCTCACCCATTCCCTACCCTCTACCCCTCACCTCTGGTAACCACCAATCTGCTCTCTATACCTGTGAGTTCGGTTTTTTTCAGATTCCACATATAAGCAAGATTGTATTTATATTTCTCTGTCAGACTTATTTCACTTAGCATAATGCCCTCACGGTCCATCCATGTTCTTGCAAATGGCAGAATTTCCTTCTTTTTTTATGGCTAAATCATATTCCATTTTATATATATACCACATTTTCTTTGTTCATCTGTCAGTGGACACTTAGATTGTTTCTATGTCTTGGCTATTGTAAATCATGCTGCAGTGAACATGAGGGTGCAGATATTTTTTTGAGACAGTGATTTTATTTTCTTTGGGTATATACCCAGAAGTGGGATTACTTTACTGGATCATATGGTAGTTCTATTTTTAATTTTCTTTCTTTCTTTCTTTCTTTTTTTTTTTTTTTGTTGAGGAAGATAGGCCCTGAGCTAACATCTGCCAGTCCTCCTCTTTTTTGCTGAGGAAGACTGGCCCTGGGCTAACATCCATGCCCATCTTCCTCTACTTTATATAGGACACCACCACAGCATGGCCTGACAAGCAGTGCGTCGGTGCGCGCCCAGGATCCAAACCGGCGAACCCCGGGCCGCAGTAGCGGAACGCACACTTAACCGCTTGCACCACTGGGCTGGCCCCTCTATTTTTAATTTTTTGAGAAACCTCCATACTGTTTTCCATAGTGGCTGCACCCAATTTACATTCCCAACAGTGCACAAGGGTTCCCTTTTCTCCACATCCTCGCCAACACGTGTTATTTCTTGTGTTTTTGATACTAGCTATCCTAACAGGTGTGAGGTGATATCTCATTGTGATTTTGATTTTCATTTCCATGAGGATTAGTGATGTTGGGCACCTTTTCATGTAGCTGTTGGCCATTTGGATGTCTTCTTTAGAAAAACGTCTATTCGGTTCCTCTGCCTGTTCTTTGATCAGATTGTGCTTTTTTGCTATTGAGTTGTATGAGTTCTTTGTATATTTTGGATATTAACCCCAAGGTATATTATTTTTTAGCAGTTCCCATTTTGGTAGGATATTTGGGTTGTTTCTAACTTTTTACTGTTATAAATAATACTGCAGTGATCATCTTTGCAGGTAACTGTGTTTAAGTTTCTGATGTTTTAATGGGGTACATCATAGAAAGAAAATTATTTTATGAAATAGTAAGTATTTTAAAGCTCCTATTATTTAATGCCCAATTGCCATCCAGTGAGTCTGCACCTGTTTGCTCTCCCACCAGCAGTAAGTTATTTTTAAGGGAAAATTATCAACCTATTGTCTCTCTCAATTTATCATTTTTGATTTTGCAGAGAGAGTTTTAAATAAGAGGCATTGTAATTATAAGAAGCATGAAAGAGTCTTTTGGGCAGAGAGGAAAATATTGAAATAACCACAGAGAAAAGTTGAGGGAAAGTGCTGCAGAGTAAAGGACGGCTTCCCTTCCGTTTCCACGTGTAACATGTCACAGCTTGGGCCATGGGAAGAACATGGGGAGGGGGAAGAACTAACTGTGCCCAACTCTGACACCTCTGAGGAAAAGACGGTCCCTGAGGCCCCCTCCAGCCCCACTCTCCGTAATTGTCCCTAGATAGATGGAAGACAGTGGGAATGGAGTCCTTACTTGGGCTATCTGTCTCCTCAAGTATTGCAAACTTTGATAGAGCCCATTCATCTTAACTTCCTTTTCTGCCTAAAATTAACCCCCTAACCCTGTCCTCATCCTTCTGCCCACTCACCTCCTCAGACCCTATTGGACTCAACTCCTCTGAAGGGTCACTACCCCAAACTGCAGACACATCTTATCACATCCCTGTCAGGAGTGAGACTTCACCCTCTGGGGCTTTGTGAAATGGAGGCTTGGGACTGCGTCTTTGCCAGCTCTTGAGCACTTGACAGCTTCACAAGAGCAGCTTCTCTGCTTCCTCAGAGGCAGTGATCAGACTGTGAAGAGAGCAGGTCTCAGAGCGCCCCAGTGGTTTCCCGTCAGGCGAGGGCAGCATTCATGTGCAGACAGGGATTAGCTGCCCGGGGAGGGAGGTGGGGCGGGGGGGCAGCATGGAGACAGAAAGCAACCAGGAGAATAAAAATCATTTTAATAAGCTTATGTCATGAGGTCTTTACGCAGCAACACTCTCTGCTTCTTTCAGGTGGCCTCAATCTGAACCCCTTAAAGTTCCTGGTTTTTGACTGGAACTGGAGAGATCAGAAGTTGAGGAGGATGATGGACATTCCTGAGGTACCACGTAATCAGCAATTGCCTTTTTTTTTTTTCAATTTGAACTTGAGTTCAAACACAGTAGTAAAGTCTTTGACATGGGAGCCAGCGCATTCTGGCCTTTGAAATGATTTCTGTCTTTTAACTCTGAGGTAACTACAGTTATAGAGACAGGCTCACCCTTTACACATAACCGTGTCTTTTCCATGTGTTCTGTAGGAGTCAGCTTTGTTTCTCCATGCACTGCTCAGTGGCTCTGCCCCACTAGGGACCACATCTACAGGTACCTTTAGGAAACAGGGAGATCTGAGGACTTGACACATTTCTCTGGGTCTTGCTTTTAGAGACTGGATCATCTTTGCCTTCTGTCCTCATAAGTGCACTTGGAGGTGGGGGCATGAACTTGCCTCATTGCCTGCATCTCCACATCCACCAAAACCCACTCACTTAATTTAGATGGCTATTTTCATTTTTCATGGTGGGGAAATTTTTTGAGGTCTCAGTGGATTAAAACTGACTGAATGCCTTTCTGGGCACAGGATTGTCTCATTGTATACTTATAAAAGTAATCCATTATCATCATAATGTGAAAAATTGATTTGCGACCCAACATGTTATCGTGGGGCCAATTTTTCTTTTTTTTTTTTAATGTTGAGAATATTTATTAGACATTTTTAAATTTTCCTATTTTTTAAATTATTTTATTGAGGTCATATTGGCTTATAATACTATGTAAATTTCAGGTGTGCATTATTATATATCAGTTTCTATATAGACTGCATCATGTTCACCACCAATAGTCTAGTTTTTATCCGTCACCATACCTAATTTTTCAATCTAACCTGATGTTGGAGAGAAAAGGGTTTGTGCAGAAATAAACATGGCCGCAAGTCACCAGTCAGGAGTGAACCATGGCAGTAACTATGGGAGAGGCTTAAAATTACTCCTCTAAACATGCTGAGTGAATTAATGTACCACATAAAACTATATTCCCAGAATGGCCAAACTGATTATAATGGATCGGTGAGTTATATCAGACATCAGTTCAGATTAAAAGACAATTTTCTCAGGTCCGTATACACACACACACCCTGTCCCCTGAACTAACTGGTTTTTTAAAACTAGTTTAACCAGGGCCGGCCCCGTGGCTTAGTGGTTAAGTGCGCGCGCTCCGCTATTGGCGGCCCGGGTTCGGATCCTGGGCGCGCACTGACGCACCGCTTCTCTGGCCATGCTGAAGCCGCGTCCCACATACAGCAACTAGAAGGATGTGCAACTATGACATACAACTATCTACTGGGGCTTTGGGGGGGGGCGGGGGAGGAGGAGGATTGGCAATAGATGTTAGCTCAGAGCCGGTCTTCCTCAGCAAAGAGGAGCATTAGCATGCATGTTAGCTCAGGGCTGATCTTCTTCACAAAAAAAAAAAAAACCAAAAAACTAGTTTAACCAATTTGATGAAAGACACATGAGGCCATATTTGATGATTTTAGTTATAATGTTAAATCTGAGTAATCCGCCACTAGTTTTCTAATTATAATAATAAGGAAAAATAGTTAAAAAAAAAAAACTTGTCACCCAAAGTTATTTTTATTATATTGATGTCATTATAAGCCATTATCCTATATCAAAATATGTATATAATCTGGGCTTTGGGTATCTTGAAACATCTTTGTATAGATTTTTTACATGAGATTTTATTTTGAATGGCTCTGGACAAAAGGACCCTTCAACAAAACTGATATTTTATATAGTACCTCTTCCCTGGCTTATGGAAATATTTCAGTTTTGAATAAAGTGCAGGTTAGGATTTTGGCCCTCCTTGATTCTGGCCATAGCAGCTGCATAAGTACCAGGGAGTCCAGATGGTTGGCTTGATTCACCAAGACCATCTTTTCCTGATCTTAACCTCTTTTTTTCCTTTTCTCTCGTTTAGATAAGAAAGGAGGTTTTTGAACTTCTGGAAATGGGAATCCTCAGTCTGTGCAAGTCAAAATCTTTGAAGCTGGGCCTTTTCTAAGTCTAATGAAAACTCCAGTTTCCATGGTGGGATTTGCATCTTGTTTAATGGCTCTGGCACATTGCAAGCACTCAGAAAATACCAGCTATTGTTTTCTTATGTTAACAGCATCACCAGATAGATGACAGGGAACGTATGATGGGGATTCTTTCACCAAAATGGGTCCGTCCTATGCCAACTCCCTTGTATAATAAAGTATCATTGGCTTGTGTGATTTTTGTTGAACAGACTGAATTTTTCTCTCACCGACTGGCCTCTGGTGTGACTGTGCAGGAGAAGGGAAAGAGCAGCTGGGCATCCTTCGACAAGCCCCTTCCCTCTCTGAGCCTCAGTCTCATGAGCTGTGAAATGGGGTAGTATCTCTAAAGATTGTTGAGATTCCATGAAATGGTACATATGGAACCGATCTGTAAACTGAAGCCTGGTCCCAACATGAAGGGTGACAGTGATAGAAAGTACACTGTCTGACTCGTTTTTTAACTTTTTATTTTGAAATAATTTCAGCTTACAGAAAAGTTGCAAAAATAGTACAGAGAATTCCCATGTCCACTTCCTCCAGCTTCCACCAGTGCTAACATCTTGTATAACCATAGCACAGTTATCAAAACTAAGAAGTCAGTATTGGTACAATACAAATACAGTTGACTAAACTGCGGACTATTCAGATCTCACCCATTTCTCTCCGGACGTCCTTTTTCTGTTCCAGGATCCAGTCCAGGATCCCACATTGCATGTAGTTGTCATGTCTCCTTAGTTTCCTGGGATTGGTCACAGCTCCTCAGTCTGTCCTTGTCTCTCATGACCTTGACAACTTTTGAAGAATACTGATGGGATATTTTGTAGAATGCCCCTCAGTTTGGGTTTGTCTATTGTTTTGTCATGATTTGATTGAAGTTCTGCATTTTTTGGCCAAAATACCACAGAAGTGGTAAGTCCTTCTCCAAGTGTCGTATCAGGGGCGTGATGTTGCTATGTCTTATTACTGGTGATGTTGACCTTGACCACCTGCGTAAGCTGGTGTCTGCTGATTTTCTCCACTGAAGAGTTACTAGTTTCCCCGTTGTAATTAATATCTATCTTGGGGGAAATATTTTAAGGCTACACAAATATCCTGTTTTCCCTCATACTTTTTCCCACTAATTTTAGCAACATTGGTAGTTTTTCCCTGCAACAGTTATTACAGTGGTCATTTTTCTGTTTCCCTCATTCCTTCAACATTTATCAATTGGAATTCTATAAGAAAGAGCTGTTCCTTTTCCCCATTTACTTGTTTGTTCAATTGTTTATTTCCATCAGTATGGACTCATGGATATTTATTTTCTTTTATGGGTGATAGCCCAATACTCTTGGTTTTTGTTGCTTAAATTCTCTTACTTTTTTACCCATTTATAATTTTTATTGATTACCCACTCTGTGTCAAGCATTGTGTTTAGGGCTTTCACTTACATATAGTCTGTAAGTTTAATCATTGAAATAGTCCTGAAGGAAAAGTGTTCTTATTCATCTTTTATAGATGATGACACTGAGTCTTAGAGGGGACACACACGAGTTTAAGTGGCAAAACCAAAAGTCAAACCCAGATCTGCCATATTCACTTCAGGACACCATGATGGTCTGTATGGGGACTCAGACCTACACAACAAATAAGAGATAATGAAGCAAACAGGTGCCATTACTGGATGTAAAATTCCACATTCAAATACTGTGAAATTTTAAATGAGCCCAGCAGTCCAGCAAATCAGACTCCAGCAAATCACATGCTTCTGCACACCAGCGACTTCACCGGCAACTTGCTGTCCAGGCGTGTCTGTGGGCTGGAAGCCACACACAGGGACTCGAGGGAAAGAGCAAGTTCCATTCTGCAGGATCCTGACTCAAGCCCAACCGGTTAGAGGAAACAGGAAAAGCCACTACAGAATGAAAATTCATTCAAGCTATAGCTAAACTTAGCCCTCATCGCTTTAATCCTAACACGTGAGATGTTCTTGGCCAATGGTAAGAAAAAAAATGAATCCCATGCCTTCCCAAGACATGCATTGACCTTCCATTGACATATCTTAGATTAACCTGGAACAAAACATCAAGCATGATTGTATAAGAGGACAGATTTGCAAAGTGACATGCAGTCTGTGCTGTCAGAATTCAAACCAGCCCACCAAACCACTATTAACTTACCAAAACCAAAAAATGAGACCATTTTGAAGGAAAAGTGTTCTTATTCACCTGTATGGATGATAAAACTGAGTCTTAGAGGGGACACGCATGAGTTTAAGTGACAGGTGAATATTATGTGTGTATATAAGTGTGTGTGTGTGAGTGTACCCCACACATATAACTCTTGCTGATCCTACACTCGTATTTGGTATATTTGCATCCCAGCAGTTAAGAGGAAAAGGCAGTGAAATATGAGGCAATCCCATATGTACAAAATGTCTAGTAATGCCTGAGGAGGCGATCTACACAGCAGTTAAAGAGAATATTATTCTGGGTGTTTCTGTGAGGGTATTTTTGGATGAGAGTAATATTTAAATCAGAGGACTTGAGTAAAGCAGCTTGCCCTCCATAATGTGAGTGGGCTTCATCTTGTTGGTTGAAGGCCTGAAGAGAACCAAAGGCTGACCCTCCCCCAAGCAAGAGAGAATTCTGCCTTCCAACTGAAACATCAGCTCTTCCTGACTGATGGCCTTCAAACTGAGACGTCGGCCATTCCTGTTCTACAGCAGCTTTTGGCCTTCAAACTCAAACTGGGACATCAGCTCTGCAGAATTTGGACTTGACAGCCTCCTCCATAGTCATGTGAGCCAGTTTCTTATGATAGATCTCTTGAGATACATATATATCTCTCTCTCTCCTATGGGTTCTGTTTCTTTGGAGAACCCTGACTGATATACTCCAGTGAAGCTCCCTTTAGTTTGGGATTTTGTTGTTTTATGAAAAGCCTAAGAAATCCTGATTTGTTATTGTAATGACCCTTTTGCGAGGAGTTACCTATGTAGTATAAGCCCACCCAGTGTTGGAACAAATACCTAGATTGCAAACACACCTGATATTTTGTAGGCCAACTCTGCACATATGATCTAATCTCATAGGCCGTTACTGCCTTTTAAACCCAAGCTCTCGACCATGTTTATTTAGTAAAACAAATAGATGTGAACTAGAAGGGTTCGCTGCCGTCTTCTTACACAAGGCTATAATACCAACAGCCGTACTCATCACCACCTCCAGGCCAGACTTAAATGGCATGCTGAAAAGTTCCGATTGGGGGTGTGCTTTTTTTCCAATTTTTGCAAGTGGGAAGCTTTGACTCTGAATTGGAAACAATCTAGTGTAAGTAGCATTTATTTTGTATTCTTTTAAACAAGGTAGATGTGCCAAAGTCGTTGCCTTCTTTAATACAAAAATAGGCCAACATGGCTTCTCTGCCTAATGTTAACAAAATAGGAAGAGTAGAAATTCACATGCTGCCTAATTTTTTAAAAACCCTAGTTCTACATCTTGAAATGCATCTTAAAGAAGAGGAAGTAATTACTAACAGCTGAGTGAAAATGATGTTAGTAGATTTCTTATAAGTGAAAAAAACCCAAAACCAAACCAATAATACCATATTGCAATATTGAACATTTAATGGATTAGCTTCCTCTTCCTTTCTCTCGCCTCATTTGGGCTGCTCCAAAGCATGGGCTTGGGAAAAGGTTAGGAAGAAATGTTTTTAGTATGCATTTTCTACTGGAGTCTTTCTTGTGGATGGAAAAATCGGAAGCTACTGAGATTAGATATCTGTGTTCTGCCTGCCTCTCCCTTCCTCCTTATCACAAATAGCAAAGTTAGCTGTAATCTGAGCATTTTTCCAACTTAGTTTATATTCATATTAGGGGAGAGCTACATTCGGAAAAAAAACTGCCAGCCCTCACCTTTATTTTTTGTATTAATCTCTAAGGATTTAGGCAAGTTCTTACAGATAAATCTATTTTACCCGTTTCAGGAAGGGCTTGCCTTGTAGTAGTCACCACATCCCACATCCCATAGCCCATTGGAACTGCTCCCCAGTGTCACCAGATCTTGGTTTACAGAGACCCTGCTGGGGATCATTCCTCCTAAGCATGGCATTTAGCATAAGTTTTTTGAGCCTGAGTAAAATATACCTAGCAATAGCTGATTGAAGAAAGCTATGTTCCTGCTAAATATCAGGTCTGGTTAAGGAATAATTCCAGGAAGCAGAAAGACTTTGCCACTACAAAGGAAAGTTCACGTAATTCTTAACATTAACATTATGTGGTATTACTGTGAGTAATAATAAGTGTCTCAAAAGTCTATCTCAGTCACCTGCAGGCCCCAAATGAAGAGGACACCCCAGGGTTGCCAGTCCAGACTGCCAGACAACACTGCCTTGAAGCAGCAGCAACTGCCGGCCTACCGGCTGCAGCTCTCTGCCACCGGCGTACTCTCTGGCTTTTTCGCCACAGGAGTGTTCTGCCTTGGCGTGGGCATCATCCTTATATTGTCTGCAAAGAGCATCAAGGAAATAGAGGTTTGTCCCATCTTACATTTTTTTTAAGCAAATTCTAAGACTTTTCAGCTTTGGGACTCTAAATGAGTGGTCAGTCTGAGAACCTAGACCCTCAACAGGGAGCTGGAAGAGACTGGAGCCTCCCTTTTTCAGCTGGCAGGTGCAGATGGTGGCAGAGCCTTGTGTGGGGGCTTTATTCATCCCTCCTCTGACTTGCGGACAGTCACCTTCACAGTGGTCAGCTCAGCCATATTTGTTTACAGGGCCTGGCAAAGTCAAGCTTTTTATGCTGGCAGAGGCCTGAGCAAGCGACTGACAGAGGTGGGAGAAGGAGAGGCAAGGCCAAATGCCAGACGCCGCCAATCACATTGATAAAGAGAGCGAAGAGCCGGAGAGACAGGGCTGCAGTTTTGCCCTACTTTCAAGCACTGTGTCTTTCCCTTTGCAAATGAACTCCCTCTGAGATCATCACTTTAATCTAAGAAAAGCAGGAACCCAAACTTTATGGCCGTTTAAGGATACTTAGCTAAATAAACCGAATTCTACTCAGAGTGAGAAAAGCTGAAGCTAAGGGCACACCCCCACCCCCCTCAGTCACAAGCCTTTTGCCAATTTGATTAACAAGCTGTTGGAGGATGAGAATCCCAGAAGCTGGGCTGGGGAGGGGAGATCAGAGCTGGTCTATGGCTAGAGTGGCCATGCCCATGTTCAGTCTAATGAATTAAGTAAATGTTTCACTCAAACCAGCTCAGAGCAGATTAATGGACATCCCAGACTGTACGACTGGCAGCCATGGAAAGCTGGTCTGTTCCCTCTCCCAACATGGCTAGTGGCAAAATTACAATGAAGACCAAGTCTGTCAACATTGATTTCGCATTCATGAGTATCTGGAAGTGCTAAGACTTCTGTTGGGTACGCAGACGAGTAAGATAAGTAAGAGTTGATTCCTGCCCTCAATGAACTAATGATAGAGTAGGTAAGATAATGTGTGGTAAGAACAAAGGGCTCTGCCGTGGCTGGCCTGTTCACCATTTCCACAACCCCTTCCTTGCGCGTTGCCCAGTACATAATAGGCACACACTTATTGAAAGAATGGATTAGGGCAAATAGTGAGGACTTCAAAAAGGAAAATGTCATTTCAGGTCCCACTCCTCCTACCAATGCATACTGCTTTATTGCCTTCCACTTATATTTCCTGCTCCTAGCAGCTTATCTCCCCAGGAATTAAGCGCTCCTAAGTCCTTTTGAGTCCTGCAGTGTGATACGTAAACAACCAGGCCCAACCAGGCGGCAGAGGCAAAATGGCAGGAGGAAATTAAACTTGCCTAGTTGAAGGTGTTAGCAAAGTAATTGGCTTACTAGGTTGATAACCATTTCCACAAACAGCTCATCCTATCTGCTTTTCTATTTCCTTCTTCACCAACCCCTTTCTTTCTGGTTCCTCCCCGCTTCCCATGTCCTCCCTGCTTCCTCCCTCTGGTTACCCACCCCCACCCACTGTGGAGCGCAGCCTCCATTAAGAGGCAGCCATTTCTGAGTGGTGTCACCTCATGCAGATGAGGGGACCTCCCTCCATGGACAGCTAAAGCCACTCTGCAAACAACTTTCAACAATGCTTTTATCATTGGGCCGGCCCCGTGGCTTAGCGGTTAAGTGCGTGCGCTCCGCTGCCGGCGGCCCGGGTTCGGATCCCGGGTGCGCACCGAGGCACCACTCCTCCAGCCATGCTGAGGCCGCATCCCACATACAGCAACTAGAAGGATGTGCAGCTATGACAGACAACTATGTACTGGGGCTTTGGGG